TTCGACCCATTGTTTTCGAACCGACGAACTTTTTGGACGAGTAGATAAATTGCACCGAAGAGACATATTATTAGAATCGGAGTGTTCTTTTGCCAAACGTTTCGCGTATCAATCTCGTCTGGCGAGTGCCGACGGTCGATGAGCATCAAGTATTTAATTTCGGCAGGAATAATATTTCGGATTAAACCGCATTGTTGACATAATCCAATCTTCGCCGCGTATCAATAGAATTTCATACAATTACGGTCTGTACGAGTAGTTTCAAACAGAATTTCATCGATCGCTTAGGAAAAAATTTAACTCAATTTCCATCGAGACCAAATTAATTAAGCGCAATGCTACTGGCCGCGTTCATTATCCCTCTGTTATACATATCGCACGGATATTGATAGCATAGTCGCGTATACGTTCCCCGCTGCAACGTTTATTATTGCAAATAGCGTTTCGAAACGTTGTCCGATTAACCGTTCAATCTTCGCGTCAGGATCGGAGAGGAACATAAAAACTGACTTTGCATTCTTGGAAAAGTTTTATCGGTCGAGGGTTTTTTTACTGTTCGAGGAAAAAAAGAGTGTCGCGAATAGTTTTAATTTACAACTCGAACGATCGTAAATATTAAAGTCGATTGTAGAACCTACGGCGTGCAGAGATTTATCACTCCTCTCGACGGGCAATACGAGTCTTTAAATTCTTAGACCTCTTCTTTTAACACCCTGTATATATTTCCTCGAGACCGAGCACCGAGAACAAATATGGAGAGCGCATAGAGGATTGAGGAAACGTATGAAGTACAACGAGACGCGAATTATAAGTCAGCGAATAATTTACTTATTGCACATTTAACACGATGACTGTCCGTAGCTGGGAATCGTGAACACGATTCAAACGTCCGGAGATACGATGAGATTTTCATAGCAATGAATAGTATACAGGCATACCTCGCTTTAAGGCTCTTCGCTTTAGAGTGCTTCGCTAATACGGCGCTTTTCAATTATATTCATGTTTATTATTTACGACGCTCGCCTTGCTCTTAAGAGTGTTTTCAGATGATAAAGTTCCACTGTCTGCTGCGGACTATCTATCATAATTATTTCTACTGAAACGTTCGTTCGCCCAGTTGTCATTAGCGAAGTACAGAAATTTTCTAAGATTAGAGACGCGGTATATCGTTTCTTTCTCCTTTAGCGTTGTTTTTTTCTTTTAGATCCAGCATTACCGCGTGTTTAGTAAACTTGGCTCGAGACTTTAAACTACCATTTAGAAGAGAAACAAATCGATTCGAGGAACGGTGGTACCTAATTTGCAGAAAGCGAGGCAGAGAAATCTGTACCGAACCCTTTCTAATAGGGTCCGATATTCGATTTAGTCCGGGGACCACGTTACAATCGCGCACTCCGATTCAGAAGGCACAGGAGTGTTACGCGGGGCACGCACAATGGGTTTGGGGGTTAACGAAGTCAGTGGCGAAGTGGTTTACGAAGTCATGGGCTTGTATAGAATTGTTACGGATTTCAGCGATGCAAGATTGCGAGGGTGGTATCGAAACGTCACACCGAGATCAATTTCTGATCCCCCGCGTGCGTCGAGATGGTTGTAGGCTGCGTAACAATATGTTTGTAAAAAAGAATTCCATGTCGTACTGCTTTAAAAAAATCTCTTAACCACGCAATATTTTCCGGGACGTTCTAATATCGGAAACGCGAGGCTCGAAGCGACAGGAGATTTTCATCCGTTGCTCGTAACCGGAAGCCTGCATTTCTCCGACGTCCAGGCTCTCGTAGAGAGGGAAGGGGAGAAGAGTCGTGTCAAAGGAAGAACGAGAGCGGTGCCCGCGTGAGAATTTATGACCGAAGCGCGGGTCCGAGTGTCGTTAAACGAGCGGAGCTCTGAATGGAGTAAATGGGCTGTGATTTGTACATTGACAGGCACGTAATGCCACAACATCGAAGGCATCGGCATTTTTCGGCCCATGAAGAAGTCTCTGGACACAGCTCGGCGAAGAATGGCCCGTGTTTTGGTCGAATCGTCCGCTTTCCGCGCACCCTGAAAGAGATAACGACCTCTCGAGTGTTCGGTCAAATATCCATTCTACGCTGTTTTCCTCTTTAAAGCCGAGTCCCCGTAGGCGTGTCGATTCCCGCCAGCTGTGCATCGCGTCCCGTTCGCCGAAATCGTTCGACCGAGCCACTCGTTCCTCTCTTTATGCCCCGACCTCCTAAATAGACAGCCTCCAGACTGGAGCTGCTCGAAACGACGAGTTTTGCTACAGCCTCTCGAGTCGCCCCAAAATAAATAAAATATATCGTACTTTTGGACAGAAAGCGCTGAGTAGGTCGACCTTACAATTTTATTTAACATCGTTGCTCATTAAGATCGAGGACTTATTTAGACCAGCAAATTGGAATTGGTCCACGGAAGGTCGAGTGTTTTTCTAGGAAAGAAGTCACGGTGTCGCGAGTCGAATCGAGTGGTTCTTAAGGGATCTCGAATATCCCTCGAATCCGGAAGATCGAATCGCGCGATTCGACGCGCGCTTTAGGAAGCTGGCCCGGGGCAGCTGGTGGCTCTTTCTCGGCGTAGCGGCTGCATCCATGGATCTCGGTTCGGATAAAGATCATTCTCGAGATCCTTGGTCCCGACCCGGCGGAATATATACGGTTTGTTGTCGATTGTGTGTACACTGGTCGGTTAATTGGGCTCATTGTGGCCGATTCGGGCGTGCACTTGGCCCGGTGCGACTCGTGCCGTCCAAGGACGAGACTGCCGGCGTCTCGTCCTCGTATCCGGCGGGGAACAGACACTCGGACGTCGGGGTAGGCACCGGCCACCTACCCTCTTTTCTCCCTCGAGAAAGCTGCTGCTCCGTCTCCCTCTTTCTCTCCTTTTTCCCATGTCACAAAGCGACCCGAACGAACCTCGAAAAGTGCTCTCGCAAGACCCATTGTCGGCCGAGCGCGTCTTCGAGAGAAGAGCAAACACGCTTAACCTCCCGACCTATTGTCGCGGCGGATTATCCGATTTGCCGTGTGCGCCCGCCGGAATGCCCGTTACGAGCGCAGGTTACTCTTAACGGAGAGTCGCGCGTCTTCGGCTTCGTTCCACTTCGATCCTCTTCGTACCCCCGCGACGCACCCTTCCGACCACCACTAATAATCCGTAATCCTACCTATTTATTGGCCGTCGCACGTGCGGGCATATTTCCCGCGTCGGGACAATACCGAGACCGACTATCCTCGTTACCGAGATACCGTCTCCGTTTACCTTAATATCTCGTTATTACAAAACCTCGTGCTCTCGCAGCCCCGACTTTCCATAACCGGTTATCGTCGACCGGTATCGTAATTCGCCTCGTTATTTTTCGCGGACGTCCCGCCAACCCCCGTCCGTTGCTTCGACCAGAAAACGAACGATGAAAAAATATATTTCCACCGAAAGTGGCCAGTCATCGCGGAAACCGTCGATTTCCCTGAACGGTGGGCCCAACGACAGGCTTTCCGGGATCTCCGGTTCGGGGGGCGGACGAGGGTTTGGCGTTATTGGATTACGCGTCGGCATTGTCCCCGCGGCGGGCAGCTGTTCGTCCCGAAGGCGACGCAAGATGCACGCCGAATATGAAAATAATATTTTCTTCTGGCATCGGTATGATCGATATTTATTCAAGCGTCCGGCCAGCATTGTATCGCGGACCCGAGATCTCGTTCGCCCGGCATTGTATCCGAAACGGAAAGATGTCCTCTCTCGAGATCTGCGCGCTCCGACAATGCCACGATCGATTGGAATGACCGTTTTCGAACAGTCATCGCTAGGTATTCACGGAAATTTCGCGCCAATATTTTTCACGGTCACGAAATTAAAATCTAAACCGAGTCTTTCGAACGAAATTTAAAACCGACGCGAGGTACACGGCGTTCGGTGGGAACGATAACATCGTCCCGAGGATAACCAGTATCGCGCCGCTGGTCGACGGTGAACTTTGAACTGCGTCGCGAATCGCGCGAGTTGCGCAACCGTTGGACGGCCCGCGACTGGAGGAATAGTCGCACAGACTTTGGCTGGAGTCGTTCGACGTTGATCTTCCATTCAAACGAATTCGTCGAGTTTCGGTTTCTCGCACTCACCCCCCGAACGAGCAACGGGGAGAACTTCAATCGTGGAAAATTGGATTCACGGGCGCGGCTGAGTTTTAAACTTCGTTTCGCGGCGAACAAACGTCGGACGGATGCGTCGCGGCGCGCCGGCCGGCAGACCGCACCGGTGCTTCCTAACTTTACGATTCCCCGTCTCCGAAAAGGGTTCGCCCACTCTCGGCTAAGTGAGAAGTTTTATCGGGCTCTCCTTACTTCTGCTCCGCGGCTGCACTCCGGAGCAAACGAGAAACCGTTGTCGCATTATCCGCCGAAAAATTACATTGTTCGGAAGTCGTGGAAAACAGAGAGCCCCCCTTCGAAGCGACCACGACTTAATCGAGCCCTCCCTTCGAACGATTCTGCGGTTTTCCTCTATTCCGTTCGATTTGCATTTTAGAAATTTTCATTCGTTTTTCCCCTCCAAAAAAATTTATTTTTGTTTATTGAATCAGCTTTTACGCAATTATTCTACGAGTCGGTTTCTTCTAATTTGCGTCACAAAGACGTTACGATGATAATAGTTTAGAAACTCGAACGATAAGGAGTCGCGCGCTACCAGATACGGAACGCGTGCGAGATCGAGGATTTATCGATGGCGTTGTTTCGTAAACTCGATGAGCAAACAACGTTACGAGATCGTTGAGTAACGACCACGCGTCGTACACTCGAGAACGCAAAACAATCTCAGCGGCAAAGACGAACGTAAATTTCCGCAACTCCGATTTATCGTCTTTCCCCGTCGTGCGAGCCATTCGCGTAAACAAACTTTCCGAAGACTTTGACAGCTGCTCGTTCCATTGTTACGAGGGAGCAAAGCGTCGAGCGATACTTTCCCGCCAAAAGCTGTTTCCAATTTTTTAAACTAACACTTACGTTGCTACCATAGTCGAAAGAGATACGAGGGTCACTGGTTTACCTGAAACAAAGAAAAGAACAATTTATATTTCTCAATAGTTGAGATCAATTTCCATCTATTCTTTAATGTAGCTTCTTGCAGCTAACCGTAAACGTATCTGTTCGATTCCTGTGCTATTAAATGAGAACCCGCGATGAATGAATCGTAGATCGCAAAGACGCTTTCAGCGTACGGTTTAATTTAATTAGTTTTACTGGAACGAACGAGAGTAAAATTGATGCGTGCACGTGTTTCGTCCGTTTTCTATTGTCGCGCGAAATCCATTTTACATTCCGAGGCTCGACTCGTATTAAAAATAGATTTCTTTCGTTCTTTCGAAGCAACAAAGAGGTGGTCTCCGAGCTTTTGAACGTCTTCTTTACCCCATCGCGCGAGGAACGATCGTAAATCGTCTAAATATTCATCCGCGGGAATTATTTAAAACGATCGTTAAACGCTTCTTGCGCTAACGCAATCCCGTACGCTAAATTTATTCTTTCGCTCGAGCATTCTGATTATTCGCGTTATAAATTAGAAAAAACCATCGTAGAACACGCCGGGTGATTCTATTTTGAATACTTAACGTTTGTCCGCTGTAAATAGCCGCGTTTTCTTTAGAACGGTACACCGACAATCGACGAGCCGAGCATCCTTTCAAAACTCAAACTTCAGAAAAACGGCATTTCGTATGCACCGACCTAATAATTATCGCCGGTATAGATCGCGAGGCGCGTAGTCACCCGGCAGAAAAAAATAACGGTAAGAATAGTCGCGCGGGGAAATTTACATTGCGACATTGCCCGACGGAGACGGTGAACGGAATCTGCGTAACGATCGATCCTGAATGGCTGGTTTCATAGACGAGATGCGTGTCTCTTTTTATTTTCTTTTTTCGAATCGACGAGTCGCCCAGTTTTTGCGCGATCGACGCGCCGCAAAAAGTCCTGAACTGGATCGTAGCCTGTCGTAAGAGTCGTGGCCACCGGTGACCGGCGCATATTCTGTTCAATATTGCTTGTTAAAAACCGTGTGTACCGCGAATCAAAGCCCCCCAGCAGAGTCGACGCAAACTATCTTGTAGATCTAGTTGAGAAGGGTTGAAGGGGTGCAACGATCTCCGATAGTCCCGGAGTACGTGGATCACGTGTCGGGGGTACAAATGTCGTGGCCTCTGTACGGTAACCTTTAGGTTCGCGCAGGATCGAGATGGCCCGATCGTACGACACACCCTGCCGGGATTCCGCGGCGAGATAACGACGTCGTGGTCGATCCTTCCTCGATATAAACCGATTAATTTCTCCCTCCGGTTGGACTCGCGTTTTTCCTCGTCCACGCTCGATCCGCTCGTTCTTCCGGCACGCTCTCGAGCGCCGTGATTTTTCGGCGAGCGGCAAACGCGGAAATGCAAGCCCGCACGCGCGTACTCGAAATGAAATAAGAGCCGGTGCGCGCCGCTCGGAGAGTTAATAATTGCCAGCATGTTAACCGGAGCCGCGAGTTTACGAGCACGCCGTTCAATTGGACGCGCTCGCGCGTATCTCGAGTCGCCAACAGCTTAGGTGTCTCAAAGTAGCTGCGCGAATGTTTCCCCCGCGGGAACAAACCTAACCAGTTTTTCCTCCGCGGATGACGAAAAAGTTGCTTAACGTATTTGCAAATCATCGAAACGAGGGGATAATCTTTAATCGCAAAACGACCTAAAAAACTTGTATATTTAGACTGGAATACGCCTCGAGAGATCAATATCGACGTTCGGGTAGGATTTTCATCGCGAGCATCTTTCGTGGAAGAGCGAACTGTGCATCGAGATGCAGAAATCGGGGCCCGAATCGCGTCCATCGGTACTTGGAAGAGGCGGGAAGCGCGAGAAGAGAAGCGACGGGTAGAAAAATCGCGCGTATCTGCACGCACGTTCGACTAGGATGCGTCCGGTAGAACAGCGAGTACGAAAAGAGGAGAATACGGCTAAACGCCGTAAGAGCTAGTCGTATCCAAGCTCTATTTCTCTCTTTTTCTCGCTCGTGGTATCTTGGCCGTTTCGTTCCGCTCTCCTCTATCCATCCATCTTTCGATTTCTTCTCTCCCTCCTCTTTTCGCTCGCCTGAACGTTCTGCTCTGTCTTTCCCCGTCCGGTCGAACGGTCGATAGATAATTGGCGTTGCGTGCTTCGAGATAAACGGCCGTGATTGGCGAAAATAACGATTAATAATTATCCACTCGCGGGATCCGAGGCGGTCTGCCCTCTCATCTCGGATCTCTCGAGAGATCCGAACGAACGGAGAGAGAAGAGAGGAAACGTCGAAGAGGTGGCTCGATATTCGACGCTGGGACCTCGTTTGGGTCTTCCGTACTCGGCCACCCTTTCGACCCTACCACGAGCCGTGCTTTACCTGGACGGAATCGAGGCGAGTTATGGTCGCCAAGATGAATCTCGACCGCTGCGATTAGACCTTGGGTTGCGCTACGAATCTGAGACAATTTTAACCCCCAAAATACAGTATCTTACAAACGTATCAAGTTGGTCCAACCCCTTACGAATCACTGCACTAATCGCTAATGTTACGCTCATTCTTCCATCGGCGGAAAATTTCTTTCGATCGTCAACGATGGGATCACTGCTTCGAACGAAGGGAAAAGCGTCGAGGAAAACGCGATGCGCGGTGTAGAAAAAAACGGAAACAAAGGGACTTCGATGGCGTATCGCGAGAACACCGAGGGTCGAGATTAACCCGAGTAATCCTGGTTCGGTCGGCGTTGCGTAGCGTTCGGTGGCGTCGGCGTCGTCGTCGCGGGACCCGATAAACGACTCGTCGAGTGGCGCGTGCCACGCGTTACGATTAACTGTCATTCGCGCTTTGCCTTTGACTCTCGCGCTTCCATCCAGGCCCACCTACGTACTACGCTCGTTCGCCTCTCTTTTTCTCCCACCCCTTTTTTCTCTCCTTTGATTGCGTTTACACCGACCGGACGGCCACGATTTCCACGCGGATTTATTACAGGTACCCGACACACCTCCATTCTTCCTTCCTCTTGTCGAGGAAACTGTGTTTTTATTTATATTTATCGTACCGGACACCACAGTCAGGATACTATTGTAAATTATCCTAATTTCAATTTATAGATACGCGGGTCCTCACCTACGCAAATACCTTTAATTTGTTAAAATACGTGGATACCATCGATTAAAGAGTATCTTTTTCCGTTCGAATATCTCGTGTACGTAAAATCCCCGCAATATTCGGTGGAGGGTCTCCGCGAGGGAACGAGGGGCGTTCTCTCCTTGATCGCGAATATTAGAAAAATCGAGGATGGTTTCCAGCTGCTTCCCGACAGTTTGCATTGCGCGGAATTCGAGTTTCCTCCGCAAACACGTCGCCGGAGTTCGGAAACGCGACGTTCCCTTCCGCATGGTCCTCTCAAAGAGCAAAAGTAAACGAGGATCTCGAATGACGAGCGATACACGCTTTGGCGTCGAGTTGAAAGAACAGGATAGAAGCGCGGGAGAAGAGGGGCGGAGAGGAAAGGAGACGCGAAATATTCCCTGGCAACCAGTTTATCGAACTGCATAGGAAAAGAAGGCAGGTAACGGGCGCTGGTCAACGATGCGTGCTTCGACTCCACGCCTGTGCGCGTGCTTATGGCTTATGTTGCGTGCATTCGCGGTACAATCTAAGATAAGTTAAGTGCAACGTTCCCCGCAGATCTTGCGGTGATTTTCGATCTATCGCTCTATCCGTTCCACGAACGATGTTCCTGGTATGCTTCTTCGCATGCCTCTCGATTCGTTCTCGTAATCGCGAACCGCAAGATCATGGACAAAGAGAATGGATTCGATACCCTGCGCTATCGTTCACCGTAAACACAAAGCGATCGAATATCTCGCGCTGAAATGCAGTTTTTCTTTTAATTACGATATACATTCCTTAATATTCGATAGGAATTGCTGAAAAATAATCGGAAAGTCGTCGAATCGCCGTTGATTTCGAGTCGACCGAATGTCTCGACTCGCCACGCGCGAAACTTTTGTCCGTCCGATCGTGGCTGGCGAGATACCGGCGCTCGATCGCGCGTCTAGTCGGTTCGGAGTACAAAGTCGAACGTTCGCGCGGCTGCGGCCATTGGCGTAAGAAGCGGCGAGAAATCGAGACCGTTCGATAGTCGGTTCGATTCCGTTTCTTTCGCGAGGAGGATCGATCGCGGCGTAAACGGATGCATTTATGAACGTGGACGACGCGCGGATTTGCTGTTTCGGCATGCAAAAACCGGGTGGGTGGGGAAGGGGGGATATATAACCGGGTAGGTAGGAAAAAGCGCATCCCCGTCGGATAATTGAACCACGCGGCGGCGTGGCGGTGACGGCGGTGGCGTCGGTGGCGTCGGGTCCGTGACGCGATACGATTTGATAAGTTGTGTCAACTGCTCGTTAGTTAATTGTCGGTGCGCGACACTCTCGCTGGCTCACTCGCGATTCCACTGGCTCGCTCGTACACGCAGACGCAACGAACCCCCGGCTAACTTTGTCACCCTTTTCGGCACCCTCCCGATGCTCAGACCTCGCAACCGCCAATGTACTGGCCGCTGTCCAATGAATGCCCTTCATTTCCATACTTCGTTCGACGGTCAGTGAGACCGGCTAATCAGATTATTTAACCCTCGTTCGACCTGCCTGTTCTCTCCGTTCTCCCGCTCGTCCGCCCCCGACCGTCGGACTCTACGCTCCGTTACCATCTCTCTCGCCCCCTCCTGTCCCTATTTACACGCCGATCAACAGCAATTCTTTCCTCGGCCAACGGAAAACCACGACTTTTGACCACGTAAATTATCCGTTGCTCGAAAGAAGGAGAACGATTAAAATTCGTACAAGAGCTTCAAGAGTGTTTCACAAGGAACAAATAATATACTTAAGATTTTCCCGAAAAATGACTGAGCGGAGACTCCTGACTTCGAGGATTAACATCCATAGAGATTAAGCTACGCTGTCGAATTATTTGATATTTAATTAAGCCATCATTTATCATCGT